GGCAACAGAGGCAGGAATGGACAAGGATCCCAGACGACAAAGACGAGCAATCACCTCCTATAAATTTGAGGAGAAACGCTCTAGACAGCAACGCTCCCTTTAATTTGAGGATGTGCAATTCCAAAAAAAAGGTCTGGGGATCTAAAAACTGTTCCTAAGATGGTCCCTGGCAACATAGAAACAGTCAGTAAAAGTTTATTCAATCAATGAATGAATCATAAAAATAAGCGAAGATGAGTTAAAGATGGAAGAACACAGACAGAGGAATGAGGTGGCAGGTTGGGGCTCTTTCCAGAACAGTGCAGAGACTGAGAGAGACCAAGTATGAGGAAAAGACCAAAAGTATTCACATCCTTCCGACAGAAGTTTCTTAAGAGCAGGAAAAAAGGAACATAATACAAGTCATTTTCCTAGAGCTCAAGACTAATGAAAGAAACCTACGTGCTTGCTTAGGGACCACGGACGTGCTTTTAAAGAGAATAAGAAACTAAGGTGTACTGAGCACAAGCACAACAGCAGTAACTCAGTGTCGGCACCGATCTGCAGGGAGAGGACTGGCTCAATGCGGTAAATTTTCTTCCTAAGCCAGTGTTTAAACGCCAGCATTTAGAAATGTTAAACGTTTTTTAAGAGACATTTATGACCTGGCTTAATAAATGAGCTCTCCTACAGATCTGCCTCCAAATAGCTTAAATGTATTCTTAAAGATTTTAAGAGGCACAGTAGGATACAGAAAAACATCCAGGCTTCGTTTCGAAATGTGAACACTCACATTTAATCCTCGGAAAAGTCCTGTAAGGTGCGTGAGGAAACGAAGACTAGTTAATTTGTCAGAGGATTACACAGCTCGTATGCTGTGGAACTGACTGAACCCGCCACTCACTGCCACATGAAGTTCTAAGACATCTGGGAAGGAAAATGATTGACTTGACCCCCTGACTCAGCTGGCTGTGCGCTTGGGGGAGGGGTGCATCTTACAGCGATGAATTAGAACTTTTTTTTCTTGCATTTCTTTTTTGAGGGCTGAGGATGGTAAATTAGGTTTATTTTTTTTAGAGGAGGTACTGGGGATTGAACCCAGGACCTCGTACCACTTGAGCTATACCCTCCCCACAGAACTTGTTTTTAAGCACCGCACCAAGATGGCAAGATGGCCAAATCGGGCTAAGCCCTGTATTTTTAGGAGCAGTGTAAATCGCTGACAATCTTGTTAGGGAGTAACACTGCAGGATGTGTAGCAAGGATCATTAAAATCATACTTTTCCAACCCAATCTCGTACTGTGGGGTCTTCTTACCCTGCATGTTTCCATTAGCAGAGACCCAAATTAAAACAGAACAAAACCACACCATAGAACAATGGTATACAACATTTAAACTGGGAAAATCTCTTTGTTTATGTGCCCCCATACTTATAATGACTATATTCTTTGAAATGCCATTAATTCTAAATAATCAGTGATTCCCAAATCTTAATCCATTTAATTGTAAACCAGTGTCACCAGAATTAGTCAACATAGTCCAAGGAAGAACAAATCAGACCCTTCCAAAAAAGCAAAGGAAAGGAGGGAGGGAGGGGCGTGTGTGAGATTCTGGAAGTGAAATTATCACCAACTAATTGAATACAAAGGTAAAGAATGATGTAGCAACATACAGAACAAATCACTGTTGAACAGCCTAATGCACCAGAACACATCTAAGCAAGGACAACAAAAGAAAACAAAATGGCAAGGTGAAAGGTAAGAACTCCTTGTGCAAGCTAGGGAGTGAAAGAAAAACATACCTTTAGTTCCAGGAATATTTCTACATTAGTGGAGTCAGAACAGACTTACCTCTTGCACTTAAATGTTCAAGCCGAAGACACGGTGGGAAGTAAAAACAGGTGCGCGAGACCCAGCGTCTTGATAAGCAGCGGTGGCCTCTGACTGAGCTCCTCGTAAGTACCAGGCCCCACGCTAGGCATATTATGCACGTTGCTGCTGAAATCTAATGCAGACCTGGTTTTTGTTCTCTTAAGTGATCTGGGTAACCCAATTTTCTAAGTAACTTCCCCATTCTATCTCAGTATGAAAAAAAAAAAGTTGATCTATTGAGAGTTTCAGACCTGGTATTTCACTGTTAAATGTACTTAACTATACCGTAAATACATACATTTATATGTACATGTATGTAAATCTTCATATGTATACATTTCTTTAAAAAATTTTACTGAGCTATCATTTGACATGTCACATGATTGGTTTCAAATGTACAATGTAGTGATATTTATATATATTGCAAAACGATCACCATCCTAAATAAGCCTGGTTACCATCTGTCATCATAATCACAAATTTTTCTTCTTGTAATGAGAACTTTTAAGATCTACTCTCTTAGCAACTTCAAATATACAATACAGTATTACTAACTACCGTTGTCATGCTGTACATTGTACCCCTATGACCTATTTTGTAACAGCAAATTGGTAGCTTTTGAGACAGTTACTCATAGATCTTGATATGACTTTAGAATAGCAGATAGATGTCAAAATTGGTTATTTCATCTTTCTGAGAGGAACACCTCAATAAATGTATTATGATTTGGCTGAGTATCATTTGGCCGAGGAAATACCAGAACAGCCAGGAAGCTAGTGGAGGGGAAATATCTTCATCTGTAGAGTCAGGCAGACCTGGATTTGGACCTACCAGCTCTACCTCTTATTAGGTGTATGACTGTCGTAGCATCAACTGGTAAAATTAGGATTAAAAAGACTACAGAATAAAAGCAAAGGAGTTTAGCACAGTGCTGCACATGGAGCTTCATACATACTAGTATCTTGTGTGTTTTAGGCACTAGCAGGGTGACTATTAAGAGCAAGATAAGATCTAAGCAGTAGGCAGTTGTTAAAGTTGAAACTCAGAAACCAGAAGTAAAGCAGAAACCAAAAAAACAAAAAAATTGGAAGACTCAGAAAACTGAGGCTCTGAAACGACACAAGAATTCTGGTTTAGGAACTCCCTGTGATATCTGTTAAGGGTTGAATTGTGTCCCCTTGCCCCAAATATATGTTGAAGTTCTAACTGCTGGAACCTCAGAACATGACCTTATCTGGAAATAGGGTCAGTTGTGCATATGTAATTAGTTCTTCGAGGACATCCTGGAGCAGAGTGGGCCCTTAATCCATTGTGCCTGGTGTCCTTTTAAGAAGAGTAGAGAACAGACACACAGACAAGACCACGTACAGACACAAAGACACGGAGAAGACAGCCTTTGATGATAGTGACAAATTGGAGTGATGTGTCTACAAGCCAAGGAACGCCTGAAGCTGCCAGAAGGTACAAGAAGCACGGAAGAATCCTCCTCTAAGATTTTTGGAGAAGCATGACTTTGGTGA